CAGCTGGTCGATGTTTCTCTCTCATCGACATTTCTAACTCTCTGTCCCTCTCAATTCCTGTGTAAAATCAATAAAATATATTAAAAAAAAAAAAAAAAACTGTAGTGGACCAATTTCCTTAATCTGGTTACATCTTTTGTTCCTTTTCAATTCTTTACCTGTTCACAGGGTCTACTCATCCCCCAATCCTTGCTGTGTGTGTGGGGGGGGGGGGGGAAGGACTCGGGGTAGAGGGAGAGAAAAGCAGGTTTCTGCAGAGTAGGCCCCCCACCTCTCAGAACCCCCAGCCCCACCTACACAGTGAGTCAGGGGTCAGGAATGTCTGCGGGGGCAGTAGACAGGTATGTCAAAGGCTGATTCATCTCTCATCTCCACCCAATTTTCTCCTTACTGTTCTCTGGGAAATTTAACTCTTTATTTGTCTAGAGATAAAAGAGGGAGATCCCAGACTCTGAACTCATGGAGTCTTCAATCTATGGCTACATACAGTACTTCATACATCAGATTATGGCACTTAAGAAATGTATGTTGAAAGAGAAGGTGGGAGGGAAGAATGGAGGGAAGGAGGAAGACACATTCTCCCCCCTCCCCCTTCTTCCTCCAGAATAGTCATCCTGAAATTTCCTTTTCTGAGTGTACAGGGGACTTACGTTTAATTCAGAATAGATTGTGCAACCACTGGAATGCTTTATGAGTTGGGGAGAAATCTCACTCATATCCCAATATCCCTTCTCTGCAGTTTATATGATTCCACAGAGCAATGTGGAGGTTCCAGGATGAATATACAGGAAGAGGCCACCAGTGTGAAGGGAGCTGTACTTGCACAGTAAGCACACTTCTTGAGAGTTTGCGTTCATTTGGGATAGATTGAAGGGGCCTTTCATCTCCCTTCTCCACAATTGCTTCAGGGTTTTGGATGTGGAAAATTTCCAGCTTTGCTCTATATTTTAGTTCAGCACATTTTTATAAAACTCATCTTTTTCATCTTAGTTGGGCTCCAAATCCCCAGCCCATCCCTTCACAGCTCCTCAGCCTTAAGCCTCCTGGACACCTGAACTTCTGGTGCTATCTTTAAGTTGGCTTCCTGGCAGGAAATGAAGGACAGTCAGTTGTTAATGAGACTTATGACTTCCCCTGTCCTCAGTAGGCCCAATGCCATTGAGATATGCGCTAATTTGGGATTCTTCCTTCTTCAGGGGATAAGAAGTAGGGGAGGGCATACCAGATCAGGCTGGGTAAAGGCTCATGGCCAGGGGCAGGAAAGAAAAGGGGAGGGACAGGAAGGGGGCTACTCAGCTTACTAGAGAATTTCCTTCCAGGTGTCTGGGGCAGTTGGGCCTCCCCACTACTTTCAAAAACTAGGTGGGGCTCTGGCTGATTTGGCTCAAGTATAGAGCCTCAATGAAGGGTACCCAGGTTCAATCCCCAGTCAGGTCACCCAGTGGGGGATGTGCAGAAGGCAGCCTATCAATGATTCCTGCTCATCATTGATATTTCCATCTCTCTCTCCCTCTTCCTTCCTTTCTGAAATCAATAGATATATTAAAAACAAAACAACAAAAAAAACTGGGTGGGCCTTCGTAATGCTGGGATGGGTCTGAAATCACTCCCCTTCCCTTCTTGAAAGGGAGCCTTGAGAAAGGTCAAAGATTTTCCAAGATCAACCTTCCCACACACCCTACTGGGATCAAGCTTTCTATCTCAGCCGACTGGATGGGAGCTTTTTGCTAATTCAGAAACAGTGGAGAACAGACTGGCTGGTGGTTCATTCGATTGCTGGTCAGGGCATGTACCTAGATTGCAAGTTAGATCCCTGGTCCAGGCATATTCGGGAAGCCACCAATCCATGTATTTCTTTCACATCTATGATTCTCTCTCTCTCCCATTTTAAGATTACAAAAAAAAAAAAAAAAAAAAAGATTCAGCCGAAACCAGTTTGGCTCAGTAGAAAGAGCGTCAGTCTACTGACTGAAAAGTCCCAGGTTCGATTCTGGTCAAGGGCATGTACCTTGGTTGTGGGCACATCCCCAGTAGGGGGTGTGCAGGAGGCAGCTGGTTGATGTTTCTCTCTCATCGATGTTTCTAGCTCTCTATTCCTCTCCCTTCCTCTCTATAAAAAATCAATAAAATATATTTAAATAATAAAAAAAAGATTCAGATAGCACTATTTCCAATAGCAAAAAATTGGTAATGATTTATAGGCTAACCATGGGAATTTGAGTAAGTAAACAATATTATAGCCATACCACAGAATATTATGATGTAAACATTAAAAGGACTTAGTATTTTTAATTATATGAAAGTGTCAACAAAAAAAGGCAGGTTACAAAGCAATAATATATCTCACTTATATAAATACTATAACTATCCCTCGGTATGTATAGAAAAAGAAAATAAACAAAATATACATTACAATATAAAATTATAGGTTGTATTTTTATTTGTTATGGGATTATTAGCCTAATTTTATTTTCCAAGTTTTTCACTGCTATTTTTATCAGGAAATTAAATTAAAAAAAAAATCTTAAGGACCATTGCCATATCCCAGCCATACTGGAGGACAGTCTTTCTCCTACCCTGTACATTTCATGATGAACAGACCTCACATGGAATCCAGAGTCCTTTCTGCACTGTGCTATACCCTCCCTAAGATGAAAATCATTCTGCTATCAGTGGGAGGTGGAGAGATAAGTTTGTTAGAGAAACAACCTTGCTGTCATACCAATGCCTGAAAAAGTTTTGGATTATCCCATCCATGTCTACTCCATGTCTGCAGAGAATGCTCATACAAGCCCATAAAGTTCTAATGATCTCTCTCTCCAACGGATTTGTTTTGGTGATGGCCGTGGCCTCCGTGATGGAGTAAGCATCAAAATCCATGACCAGCGAGACCGGTTTGGCTCAGTGGATAGAGCATCGGCCTGCGGACTGAAGGGTCCAGGGTTCGATTCCAGTCAAGGGCATGTGCCTTGGTTGCAGGCACATCCCCAGTGGGAAGTGTGCAAGAGGTAGCTGATCAATGTTTCTAATTGATGTTTCTAGCTATCCTTCTCTCTTCCTCTCTGTAAAAAATCAATAAAATATATATATATATATATATATATATATATATATATATATATATTAAAAAACAAACAAAAAAACACCCATGACCAGCCCTGGCTGGTTTGGCACAATGAATAAAGTGTTGGCCTGTGGACTGAAGGGTCCTGGGTTCGATTCTGGTCAGGGGCACATGTCCAGGTTGTGAGCTTGATCCCCAGTCAGGTCGTGCGGGAGGCAGCTGATCAAGGATTCTGCCTCATTGATGTTTTCTTCTCTCTCCCTTCCTCTCCAAAACCAATAAAAACATATTAAAAAGAAAAACCCATGACCACAGCTATTGGTACTATTTTCAGAAACACAGCATGCATCCTCAGTCTCTGATGAGAGACTTGTTCAGTGGCCTGGGCGTCAGGATTCCTGGACTCCAGGCCCCACAGGTGATTCACAGCCAGCCGAAGGCTGTGACTCCTGGCCTTAGTTTCCCTGGCTTGCTCTGTTGATACTCTCTACCTACTGTGCAGGGTATTAATAGGAATGAGGTGCTTTGAACTCTGCAGATGAAAGAGGCTGGGGAAGCAGCACCCAATTATTATCCCCTAAAGGCCAGGCGTGGGAGCGGAGGTTGGCTGCTTTCATACTGTTCCAGCCACAGCAGCCTCCTCATAGCCCTTCAGTCTACTCTGGCTGTCAAAGCTGGAAAGCAGAGAGGTCATTGCCATCTCAAGGCTACTTCTGAATAGATCTTCCTAAACTGCCCAAACCACCAGTGACCTAACTGCTCCTTGATTTGTGACTCAGTAATACTCTACAGGTATCAAAATTCTTTCTTCCAACTGGCCTCAAATCCTGTGGGATACGAACCATAAAGTTTCACCATTAGTATCCACAATTAAGAAGTCAGCAAAGTAAACAGAGAGCTAGGCTGACTGAAGTTCAAACACATCTGTTTCCTTTATGTAAAGTGGGGCTTAGTAATAGTCCCAATCTTGTTTGTATCTCTAGAAGTTGCTGTGTGAACCACATGAGGACCATGTGTATAAAGGCACTTTGTAAAAATGCCAAGCCCTTTATAATGTATTAACAGGACAAAGTATCTGCAAATAAGACTTCTGGCACAACTGCCATCTGTCCCTCTTGTGCTACAAGCTACGACTGAAAAACTAAGCCTGGGGTGCCACCTATTGGTTGCCAATATAAATTGCACCCAACCAGTTGCAAGAAGAGCAAAGAAAGCAATCATCACCAGTCCAACTTTAAACCACCTTAATTTTTGCCATGCCCCTCATGCCATATTATATACTTAATAGTTTTCTTTAAACAATGCATTTTGTATAAATAATTTCATTTTAAAGTAAACTTTTAATCACTACTATAAATGAAAACTAGCTAGCACTTGCCAAAAATAGAATAAAACCTGCCAAATGAATACAGTGAAAATAAAACATGATCTAGATAAGAAGTTTCCCCTGTAAACCTCAAGCTTCAGGATCAGTTAAAACTGGAGTGCATTGGAGAATAAGTGTTAAACCTCCGTATTATCCTGTTCTTTGGGGAAATACTTGCCCAGGATGAAGAAATAGAACTCTTCTGAGGGGAAGTGACATTCACTCATTCTACCCCAGCTCCCTGGATGGTTGAAGAAAGGTAAAGTCACAGCATGTAGGAGAAAATAAACTTTTGTATTCACATTCCACAACAGTCTGAGTGGAGCCAGTGCTGAATTCCTGGTGGCAGTGCCCAGAGCTCATGTGCACCAAGGGTGTGGTGGGTGCTCTGCTTGCACCTCGTCTGACTTTGGTCAGAAGTCCTTTGCAGAAGTCTCTCCATCAGCCTTCCATCTGGCTGGGAGGACTGTTCTTGGGTCTGCAGCCTGCTGAGCTGTCCACTGTTCACTGGGGTTACAGCTTTCCCCAGCACTGGGTTACATGACTTGTTCTCCAGAGCGCAGCCTGTTGTTACAGGTCCATGGCTTCTTGCTCCACTGACTGGTCTGAGGGTGCCAGGTACTTCTCCTGGATTCCCAGGGTGCTGAGAGAGGGCACGTCAAGGATAATAGCATGGGCAAAGATGGGAAATTGGTCTGAGTGGGATCTGACCGCTACTAATGCCCGTCTTCCAACCATGTCTGGCAGAGTAATTCCATCCTTTCCCCTGCCTCATAATCATAGCTTCAGGCAACAGGGACAATAGTGTCTGAGAAACCTATCAAAGCAATGAGATTCAAATGCTCCTCTTCCTCAAATTGCTGAGGATCAAAAGACCAGAATGCTGCCGAAACCAGTTTGGCTCAGTGGATAGAGCTTCAGCTTGCGGACTGAAGGGTCCCGGGTTCGATTCCGGTCAAGGGCATGTACCTTGGTTGTGGGCACATCCCCGGCGGGGGTTGTGCAGGAGGCAGCTGATAGATGTTTCTCTCTTATCGATGTTTCTGATTCTTTGTCCCTCTCTCTTCCTCTCTGTGAAAAATCAATAAAAAAAAAAAAAAAAAAAAAAAAAAAAAAAGACCAGAATGATAACCCTTCAACTCTGTTATGACAAATGCTTAGTGCCAGACCATGGGGATTTAAATCCTGACTGAACATTTACAACATCTATAAAACAAGAGTTGTTATAAGGATCAAATGAGGTAATGATTAGTGCCTAGCATGGCACCTGGCACACAGTAGGTACTTAAGAAATGTTTGTGACTTCTCTTCTGCCAAAGGAGAGAACACAAGTGAGCTCAAAGAAAACAAAAAATTTCTGCCACTCTGGGACAGCAGTAAGGTCATAAACCAGATTCACAAGGACAAAGACCATGACACTGCTGATGGAACCCTGTAAGATTGGCTGGCCTGAGTCAGGGTCTGGGGTCTGAGTGGGAGATAGGGATTGACCATGTTGGCCACCATGGCTGCTCTACTAGATGACTCCAGTGTCAGCAACTGAGACTCTACAACCAGGGAGACCAAGATTTGAATGGTTCTCCTAACACATGCTGAGTGAGGGACATTGCGGTCATCACTCTTAGAGCTCCAACTGCTTCATCTATAAAAGGGGATTGAATAAAGATTAAGTAACGCCGAAACCGGTTTGGCTCAGTGGATAGAGCGTCGGCCTGTGGACTGAAAGGTCCCGGGTTCGATTCCGGTCAAGGGCACATACCTTGGTTGCGGGCACATCCCCAGTATCTCATGGACATTTCTAACTCTCTATCCCTCTCAATTCCTCTGTGTGTGAAATCAATAAAATATATTAAAAAAAAAAGATTAAGTAACATCCTGCAAATGGAGTATGTAGCCCCCAAACGATGTTCAGGTTAGACCCGTGGTCGGCAAACTGTGGCTCATGAGCCATATGTGGCTCTTTGGCCCCTTGAGTGTGGCTCTTACACAAAATACCATGGCCTGGGTGAGTCTATTTTGAAGAAGTGGCATTAGAAGAAGTTTAAAAAATTTGGCTCTCAAAAGAAATTTCAATCATTGTACTGTTGATATTTGGCTCTGTTGACTAATGAGTTTGCCGACCACTGGGTTAGACCTTTCTTTACCACCTCATGGATCCATCTCAACTCGACACAAACTGACCCTGAACCTGTTCCCTCTTCCCTTCACTTTTCCTCAGGAGGTAATGCCTTGTTCCTGTGCAAGTCAGTCCTGAGGATCATTTGTTTGACTTGGAATAACATCAAACCTGTCTTATCTCTGGCCTGAAGCGTACATTCCTGAGCAGGGCACATGAACCTTGCGTTCTCTTGCCTATCTCCTGGCACTATCACTGCTCCCCAGCCAGAAGTCCTGTCCTGCCCACAAGTCACCATTCTACTTGCAAACCTCCTCCAGACATGTCTCAATCTTAAATTCCTAAGTCTTTATATATATTGTTCTCTTTGCCTTGAATTCCCTTTTCCTCTTAATCAACCAGGCTAACCCTCACTTTGAGATGATGCAAATCAAATGTCACTACCATTTTGAAGCTTTCTTTACTGACTCAAACCTCAGCAGAGCTGACTTTCCCATGTTTATACCAATCCCTAATTACCTAATACACCAAGTTGAACCTTAAGAAGATTAGGGTTGGGGGGGGTAGAATCTAAAATCAGCATAAATGTATATGGTGAGAAATACCCTTAAAATTCCTTGGTAAAGTATATGATTATCTAATCACTAGGCTGTATACCTCAAACCAATACAAAATAATATTGAAAGTAAACTGTAACTGAAAAATTAAAAACCAAAGCAATTCAGGGAATCAGAACAATAACAAAAAAACCTTAAAATTCCTTAAATCACTTATTAAACACAGTATACACCAAGCATGTCAAACTCGTGGCCCTTGGGCCGCATGAGGTTCACAATGAATATTTTTGTGGCCCAGCCGACATAACAATATGTAAGAAACGTTTTAATACAAATTTCTAATTTAATTTTTATAATATCCTGTTATACATAATTATTAACAAACTACAACCTTCACTAATGATTACTATAATTGCGTTGCATTCATTTCCCTTATGTGCCTTAAGTACAGACGCACCATTTCTCTCCACTAATACTAGCAGCGAATATTTTAGCAGCTGACTGCCACGTCATCAGTCCTGTACTGATTTGTTTGGTGTACCAACAGGAAATATTTCGCTTTCGGAGAACAAGAAAAATAGTTTTATTTGCATTACACTTATTAATTTGTGCAGTTATTCAGTGTCTGGTAAGTTAATGTTCAAGAAAAATATTAATTTTTATTAAAACGTTCTATTATTTTGTGTTAATAATTATTTATTTCAGCCATTTGTATTTAGCATGTCTCTATTGAAATAAGCCTATGTTTCTATGAAGATTGAAGCTGTTTTTTGTTGTTGTTTTTTTTGTGGCCATATAAACTTAAACCATGTTTATGTGGCCCGTGTTAGCCTTTGAGTTTGACATGCTTGGTATAGAGATTTTATGAGTAGAATATGACTGCACAAAGTAATGTACAGTGTGCAAAATATCACAGCCCTATTAAAGTGCCCTTCCCCTTTTTTTTGCTGAGTACATGCAGTTGAATTTGCCATTAACAGCATGTTGTGTGAGGCAGGTCCTCACCCCTTCTTTAGGTACTATGGCACACTCTAGTGCCATCATCTGTAACTAGTCTACTTCCCTGTGAACTTTGTTTCCCACGTGTGAAAGGGCCTGACACAGACCAGCAAGTGTTGGCTGGAACTATTTCCTCCCTACACAAGGACTCTGGAGTGCACCTCCCCAACTCTGCCTTGTCTCCAGCATCCCGTGTAGATGCCAAATCTCTGAAACCAGCCTAGAAAGCCTGTCCTACCTCACATGTACTTGTGGCCTCTGTGACATGAGAGACACCTACACAGGACCTCAGCTCTACCACCGCCAGCCCAGTTTTAAGGTCTAGCTGCCTCCCAGACAGCTCCAATTGTCCCAGATCCCCCTCACACATAGCACATCTGCTAGCTCCCATCCCTTCATCTCCATCACAAACCGACAAACCTTCCTCTTTCTTTTCTTATCTCAGCGACTAGCACAACCACCCATACCATCTAAGACTGAAACCAGGAGTCCAAATTCTGCTCTACCTCTACCTATCTATCTATCACCTTAATATTTTCCCAACTCACACAGTTCTTTCTTTCTTTCTTTTAATATATTTTATTGATTTTTTACAGAGAGGAAGAGGGATAGAGAGTTAGAAACATCAATGAGAGAATCATCGATCAGCTGCCTCTTGCACACTCCCTACTGGGGATGTGCCCGCAACCAAGGTACATGCCCTTGACTGGAATCGAACCCAGGACCCTTCAGTCCCCAAGCCGACGCTCTACCACTGAGCCAAACCGGTTTCGGCCACACAGTTCTTTCTATTCTCACTACTAACGTTTCATCTCTTCTCTTCTAGAAACTGTAAACACTCTCCTGCCTCCAATCACACCCCTCAAATGCATCTCCACACTTGGAGGGGCTTTTCAAAAATGTGCATTTGTTCATGGTCTGAGCAACACCACTTTGCTGGTCCTACTGCTCACCCGTGAGCCGAAGTCCACCCCCTCGCCAGCCTGCACCTCCTCCTTTCCCCTTCACCCTCAAGACACCGGGCAAACTGAACCCCTTACCGCTCTTTCAAGTGACCAATGCCCTTTCATTCCTAGGTCTCTGTATTTTTGCTCCTTCTTATCACTATCTTCCTTTGTCCTAAGGTACAACCAACCCTGAAGCAGCCTTTTAACATGAAAGACAGTCACGGGAGGGGGGGGAGGGGGGGGCGGCGCGCAGGGTAATTGGTCAAAATCAATCAGTCATCTACAAAAGTATAAGTAGCTATGTAGCTATTTCTGAGTCCCATACACTACTCATACCCCACCCCCACAGGCCGTGGCTAAGAGGCTAGAGAGCAAGGATACGAGGAGAAGTGGAAGTCAGCTCCCACTGCAGCAGACATCATGGCCTCCAGGCTTCGCTGCTCTTGGACCCCGAAGCAGTAGCCGTTGGCTTTATCCACAGCCTGCAGAACCCGCTGGACACTCTCCTTGTCCTGGGCAGGGAAGAGAGAAACAGCTCTGAGTGAAACGGAGGTGTGGAATTTAAGTTGTACCAAACTGCTTGCAGGCCCCAAGCCCCTCAATCTTGCCTCATTAAGTCTCTGTATATGCAGCTTCGTTGGCCTGAAGTAGTTCTGCATGTTCCCAGAGGCCCGGCTACATTCCATTTTTCTGACCACCACCCCACCTAATTTAAAACAGGTAAGCTCCTCTAGGCACAACCATAGTTCCCTGGATTTATTCCTATTGCAGCTCTGATCCTACCATCTTTTTTTTTTTTTTTTTTTAAATATATTTTATTGATTCTTTATATAGAGGAAGGGAGAGGGATAGAGAGCTAGAAACATCGATCAGCTGCCTCCTGCACACCCCCTACTGGGGATGTGCCCACAACCAAGGTACATGCCCTTGACCAGAATCGAACCTGGGACCCTTCAGTCCGCAGACCGACGCTCTATCCACTGAGCCAAACCGGTCTTGGCTGATCCTACCATCTTACTAACTCCTAGTAAGTTATTAACTCATCTGCCTCTCTTATTCCACTGATCTTCAAGGTCAAGATATTTCCAGTGCCTGGCTCAGTACTTAGCTAGCAGTAAGCACCGAATAAATATGCATGTGGCCTATTTATTTATCCACATAAAAGTAATAAGAACAATTCATACATCACATGATAGAAAGGAAAGATCAAAATAATGCATAAAAGCCCTGGCCGGAGTTTCTCAGTTGTTAGAGTCAACCCTTGCTCTGGAGTCACAGGTTCGATCTTGGGTCAAGAGCACATACCAGGTTTGATCCCTGGCCCCGGCTGAAAGGTGTGTGGGAGGCAAATAATTGATATGTCTCTCTTATACTAATGTTTCTTTCTGTCTCCCCCTCCCTCCCATACACTCTCTCTAAAAATCAATGGAAAAAATATCCTTGGGTGAGGATGAATAACAACAAGGTATTACGTTCTTATCACAATGCCTAATTTAAAAAACCTGGCCCTAGCCGGTGCAGTTAAGTGGATAGTGTCGGCCTGCGGACTGAAGGGTCCCAAATTCGATTCCAGTCAAGAGCACATGCCCAGGTTGCCACTTGATCCCAGGGGGGACCTGCAGGAGGCAGCTGATAGTTATTCTCTCTCATCATTGATGTTTCTCTCTCTCTCTCTCTCTCTCTCTCTCTCTCTCTCTCTTTCTCTCTCTGTCTCTCTCTGTCTCTTTCCCTCTCTCTGAAATCAATAAGAAATAAATAAAAGAAAATAAATAAAAGTATTTTAAAAAACCAAACTGCCCTAGCCCGTTTGGCTCAGTGGATAGAGCATCTGCCTGTGGATTGAAGGGTCCTGGGTTCGATTCTGGTCAAGGGCATATGCCTGGGTTGCTGGTTCAATCCCCAGTGTGAGGTATGCAAGAGGCAGCCGGTCAATGATTCTCTCTCATCATTAATGTTTCTCTCCTTTCCTCTCTGAAATCAATAAAAATATATTAAAAAAGAAAACCTGCAGTTAAGTGGTAGTTAAGATTAATATCATAGGTTTAACCTCATTTTTAGAGAAAAGTGTGGCATTAAAAAGGAAAGAAAAGAGACAAGTTTGCTCAAACATGTACTGCAGAAAGGACTCAACATGCACGGGTGTCTCCCATCTTTTTAAATATATTTTATTGATTTTTTTACAGAGAGGAAGGGAGAGGGATAGAGAGCTAGAAACATCGATGAGAGAGAAACATCGACCAGCTGCCTCCTGCACACCCCCCCACCGGGGATGTGCCCACAACCAAGGTACATGCCCCTGACCGGAATCGAACCTGGGACCTTTCAGTCCCCAGGCCAACGTTCTATCCACTAAGCCAAACCGGTTTCGGCTCCCAGGTTATCTTTGCAGGGTGAAGGTGAGAGGCACAGGGATTGGTACTACTTTGCAAAGTCAATAAGCAGTTGCTCATCTTGAAGGAGCCCGACAGACTTATCCCTGACCTTGGTCAAGTCCCTTGCTGGTGACTTTCAGGGAACATTTGTGGACACAAAATAGACAGGGCCAAAGTTTGGTCCAACCTCTTTAGTGGAATCCTGCCCACCAGAGCCCCTGCAACCAAAACCGAGGGGGACCAAATGATAGCATGACCGAGGACAAAGACCACTGTTTGAGCCTCAAAGCCTCCTGTACTCTTGGCTTGGCGAGGTCCAAGGCACTGTCAGAGCCTATACCAAGGGAATAGGCCTCATAGTCCATGGTACCTGGATGTTGAGAGGAATGAAGGAGACCAGGCTGTAGTCTTCAATGAGCTGCACCAACTTCTCATTGAGCTGACGATAGTGGCGGAAGAAAGGATCAGAAGCCAGGTGGTCAAGCAAGTAGGAGAGGTCCAGGACCTCTGTGTAGTAGTCCAGGTTGAAGGCTACGGAGAGAAACCAGTCAGGAGCAGGTGGCATCAGGCTAAAACCCCAAGGACAGAGACCATATTTTTTCTTCCTTCCTCTACCTTCATTCTCTCACCGGCTGGTTCTCTATGGACAGATACCCACCTCATGGGGCTGCTGAGGATTAAATGCTATGAACCTCATGCCTGGTACAAAGAAGTGCTTGATCAGTGGTAGCAAATAATGATACTGAACATGTACCAAGTACAGTGCTTGGTGCTGCCCTCATGAAGCTCGGTCAGGTAGTACCCCCAGGACCCAGCACAAACTGTAAGGACTTTAGCAGGGTGGCATCTGGGTAAAACTCTTTCCCTTTCTGGGCCAGTTCCTTCTTAATGTAAAATGAGCAAACCAGACTAGATGACTCTGGGGTTTCTGACTCAGCGCTATGTCTACAAACTTCCCACCAAGAGAAGTAAAGTGGGCTTGCACTGTTCATTTCAGCCTGGAAAACTCAAGTGATTGGGCTATTCGGCAGATGAGCCGAGGAAACAGGCCGTCAGAGATTGATCAACTCACTGGTGTGCTCTGACTTCCAGGCTCTAATCAGCTCTAATTAGAAACTGACACCACTACAAGGAAGAATGTCCTAAGCATTCCAACAAACTTCTTGGGTTGCTTGACAGGTAGGTTTCTCAATGAGAATTAAGAAACTAGAGCCAGGTACACTTGGGTTTATATTTCACCTCAACGAACATACTATTGATAGCTGTGTGATTCATGTAAAGTCTTGGGCCTCAATGGCCTCATCTGATTTGCTTATCAGCCTTTTGTGAGGGCGCCTATCAAGAGTCAGGACTAGGAAGGTTAAAGACCACCATGCAGCCACCTGGTGGAGGCTGTGAAGGGAGTGAGAAGCTTTGGGTGACTACAAATCTGCACTTAGGTAAAATGGGGCTTGTGGGCTTGCCAAGAAATGGGCCAGGACTCTGACTGACCAGGAAGTGCTGACATTCTTAATTTCTCTGTCTCCAGGTCCAATCCACAAATAAGTCCTATTTCTTGAGCAAGTTTTGAATCTCATTTTCTCCATTCCCACCACCACTGCTTGGGCTGTTGCAAAAATACGGAAGGGGTGTTTTCATTCTTGCCCCTTTCAATTCATTCCCAAAGCAGCCAGAATGACCTTTTCAGTTCATGCTATTCCCTTGTTTAATATTCATCAACGACTTTCCTCTGTGTTTAAATACTCCAAGTTTTGGCCCCTGCCAACCTCTCTGACCTCATTTCCTACCACCCGCCCCCTAAACGCTATCTCAGCTACCCTACCCCACCTTCCTTGAAAAAAACAAAACAAAACAAAACCTCTTTGCTACCTGAGGGCCTTTACTCACTACTGGTCCCTCTGCTTAGAACAGTTCTCCCTTAGCTAGCTCCTCACCATTCAGGTCTCAGCTCAGATGGCATGCTCACTCCCCACCACTCACTGTCCATCATTTCATTTTTAATTCCTTCATAATACATATTACCATCTATAGTTTTCTTGTCCCCAAACCCCAGAACATAAGTGGAACAAAATAAATGGGGAGGGGTCAGGACCTGACTGTGGCCAAGACACATCACCAGGCCATGATCACCAGTTCCCTGGAGGAAGCTTCCCTCAGCTGAGATCTCTGCATCGCTCCAGCCCAGCCTCTGCCCTACACCTTGCCTGGCCCAAACGGGAGCACTTACCTAGCTTCCCATAGTGCTCAATGAGGTCCATCTTGGAGAGGAGGTTGACGTGGGGCAGCTCTACATGCAGCATGGTGGCCAGGGAGGTGCACAGTACTGAAATGAACTTGGCGGGGTCTGTGCAGTAGTGAGAATCTACCAGGTGGACAGCAGTCAGCTGGGAGGGGAGGGAGAGACAGGATGAGAGTGGCCTGGGGAGGCAGGGAACATCAGGGCCTATATGTCTCCCCCATCAGATTGGGGATGCCTGTCTTCCCCATTAGTCTTTTCCTTCGGTTTCGTTCTAATGGCCACAACTCATTTCCTTCTCCCAGGAGATATGGGCATTTTTCTTAGAAGATGCCTTGGGCTGGGCCTCCCAGTGGGCAACTGGTTCAATTCCCACTACATCTGACTCCAATCTTTCACTTACGTTTGCCCCCAACTCACAACAACGGTCGCCATGCTATTTTCCACATAACTCCTTCCTTACTTCTAATAATCCCAAATTGGGTGCTAACACATCCATTTACAGATGAGAAAACTGAGATTCAGAAAGATCAACTGACTTGCCCAGGATCACACAGTGTCAGTGGCAGAGCCAGATTTCGTAAGTTATAGTCCAAAGCAACTCTACCCTTGCCTCGCTGTGTGACAGGGGTGTGTGGCATGCCCTCCCTGTCTTAGTTCCTTCATCTGCAAAATGGGCCTGCCCGACCCAAGACGCACCCTGAGGTCCCACTGAGCCATCTGGGAGAAGATGCTGCGCAAGGAGCCATGGTGCGTGCAGAGCTCCACTTGGCCTGGGCAGTCGAAGAGGAAGTAATGGCCGCGGAGGGGGTCAAGCTTGGCACGCAGCCAGTCCAGGTTGGCCTCCAGGTACTCCATGCAGTACAGCAGGCCGCCGTTGGGTCCCAGCCGCAGCGCGTCCATCACGTCGCCCAAACCCACCAGCTCGCTCACGTCCACGGCGCACTCGTACGGCAGCCCCTCGTTGGCCGGGTCCAAGTTCACCACCGCCACGCGCCGGCCCATCGCGCGCAGGAACTCGCTCATGCCCAGGCAGTAGGTGGTCTTCCCCGAGCCCGGCGGGCCGATCACAGCCTGTCCAAAGGCCGGGGTCCGAGCGGCCCCCGCCATGGGTGGCACTCGGCCCCGTGCGCAGCGGGAAAGCTCGACGGGGAAACAAGGCGGGCGACCGCGCCAGAGACGGGAGCCGAGGGCGACGGGGTTCCCGACGTGCACTTTGGGGGTGGCGCGGTGGCGGTACTCCGGAGTTGCCTCCGGTGGGAGCCCGGCAACGCAGAGTAAACCGCCAGGTACTGAGCAAACCAGCAACTTCCGGAAGACGTCGGAAGTGATAGGGTCCCGGAGAGGAAGTCCCGCCCTCACGGTGACGACACAGCTTAGCGCCGAAGGTCTTGGCGGCGCGCACATTTCACCAGCAGCGAGGAGATGGGTTCGGGTGGGGCAAGGAAACGTTAGGCCCAAATTAGAAGAGAAAGAAATCCGGTCATAAACTTCTTTTTTAAAAAAAATAAATAATTTTTTTATTGTTTTTTTTTTTTTTTTTTTTTTACAGAGAGGAAGGGAGAGGAATAGAGTTAGAAGCATCCATGAGAGAGAAACGCCTATCAGCTGCCTCCTGCACACCTGCCACTGGGAATGTGCCTACAATCAGGGTATATGCCCTTGACCAGAATCGAACCTGGGATCTTTCAGTCTGCAGGCTGACGCTCTATCCACTAAGCCAAACCGGTTAGGGCAAAAACTTCTTTATTCTACCATTCGATCGTAGATCCGGACCACCTCCCTCGGATTCTCTGCCGTCTAGTCCCAGCCCGTCAGGACAGGCAGAAGGCCCGCCCCGATACCGTCAGTTCTGAACACCACAAATCCTCTTCTCTTCCAGGTCCCTTTCTCATTCTTTCTGCTCTTCAAGGTGACACTACCCAAAGAAGGTTGTGTTGATAATCTCAATCAATCCAGCTTTTCAAGGTAGGGGGGGGGGAATGACAGGGGCAAGCCCAAATGGACCAGGATTAGGAGATCAACAAAGAGCGGTCATTAAGCCCCAATATCAAAGGAGAGTATAGGGGGCTTTTTGCAAAATGCCCCTGAGGTAGAGAGCCAGAAGGCAAGTTCAGAACAAAGCACCCTGAAGGAGTGCGGCAAGTCTTCCTGCTTCGGTGGAGAAAAGGCCAAGGCAGTTATGAGTGATCCTAACTAAGGAAGTCCCTGAACTTGTCACTCAGGCTCTGAGAAGTTGTCAAAGGCGGAGCTGGAACCCTTCACAAAGGTCATATCTGTCCGAAACTTCATGCTGGTGGGTGGCTGGCGTCGGAGCAGCAACTCCCCTTGGTCCTGGGGCAGGGGTTCATCATAGATGGTGGAGATGAGTCCCAAACCAGTTCTACGGGGCCTCTTCAGTTGCCCAAATGGCTGTAGCTTCTCTCCGTGGTACCTGGATTATTAAAAAAGGCTCTCGATGAGAGGACGGCTCTCTCAAACCCCAGTTAAGGGAGTTGGGAAAGGACAGAGAAATAGCTACTGCATCTGGTTTGTCCCCAAGACAGAGTCTTTAAATCTTAACTTTTCTTTATCCATTCATTGACAGTGCCAGTAACCAGGGGCCTCAATGCTTTCATTTTAAATAGTGTACAAAGTTTAGAACAACTGTCACTACTCTGACTTACAGTCACCCCCCAAAAGCAATCAAGTCCAAACTCCTCACACTAGGAAATAATGACCCCACCAGGAGATCCATACCTATTTTTTTCCTTCTAACTCTACTTTGTAGTTCACTCTCTAGGACGTTCAGCATCTACCCCAAAGCCAGAGAGAAGGGGGGACCAGGGTACAGATGAAAAGCTAGCTTGGACCCCTAGGGAAATCCCTGACATACTCACCCCAGTCCACGCTTACATCTGGGGTGCTGGCCATCATTATCCAGGGCCTCAGGCACACCTGAGCACCGGCTGCCCAGGCCCTGGCCCTCAGCCCAGCCCTGTCGCTCCATCACCTTCCGTCCAATGCCCTGCAAAGGGAAGGGAAAAGACAAGAGACAGAGCTCTTATGGAGGGTAGGGGCTAGGGGTGGGAGGAAGAATGGGTAAAGAAGGAAGAGAGGTCAATGGATTGGGCATACTCCTCACCTTGGTGTGGCGCTCAAAGGTGCCCACCTGGCACTCAGTCACAGAGCCGTACTCCTGGCCATCACGGAGTCTCCGTTCCAGGCGCATTTGGACAGAGTCTCGGGCATCCTTGTCTCCACCATCTGAGAAAGCAGAGCCAGTTTGCAGAAGGGGGGAAATCAGGTGTCTAAGATCTCCTCAAAAAATTTACATATTCATATTTATAATGATTTTATTACCTTATAATTTTCTCATTAGACTGGTAGCTTACCAAGAATAGGAACCATGGTTCTCCCATCTTACAAATGAGAAAATTATGGTGCAGAAAAACCATAGAGCCAACAAAAAGAGAGATTTAGAGCCAGGTCTTCCCCTCCTCTCCCTACCCAGGTCATTTTTGACACTAGAATCTAAATTCTTAACTAGAGTGTGAGCTACCAATGCCCACAATTCCAGGGTCTGCCTACCAAAAGCAGAGTTCCCTGAGGGCTATCCCTACTTCTCCTTGCTCACAAAGAAAGAAAAAGGCTTTGCCTAAAACCAGCACTTAAGGCACTCAACTAGAGATCTCTTAAGAGAGGAATCAGCTCAGTGAGCTGCCCCAAGGGAACTGATGTTCTGTCTCAGCCTTTGCTAAGCAGCTCTGATAAAGTGTCACTGCAAGACCGCCTGTTCCACCTCCCATTAATGCAACCCCTGGCCCAGTACCTCTGTCGTAGTACACACTCATGTCCACGTCCCAGTCATCGGCTGTCTGTTCATCGAAGTCTGTAAGTATAAAAGCATCAAACAGAGTCAGCTTAAGGACTCTCAGTTCTGTTGAGAGTTAAATCTAGACTCAGACATATGTTCTAGAACTTGGGGCTTTTGATAGTTTTAAATCTCTCGTCAGGGAGAGTCATTCAGAATTTGTGGGAGGGCACTCTCTCTCCACTCCACTGATCCCTCCACTCCTAAAAAGGATGACTGGTCTCACCGAAACCGGTTTGGCTCTGTGGTAGAGCGTCGGTCTACGGACTGAAGGGTCTGGGTTTGATTCCGGTCAGGGGCATGTACGTTGGTTGCGGGCACATCCCCGGTAGGGGGTGTGCAGGAGGCAGCTGGTCGATGTTTCTCTCTCATTGACGTTTCTGGCTCTCTGTCTCTCTCTCTCTTCTCTCTGTAAAAAATCAATAAAATATATTTAAAAAAAAAAAAAAAAAAAAGGATGACTGGTCTCATATACAGTCAAGGTTAGCCACTTTCCTAGCCTTTTATTGGGCACTGTCAGGGATTCCACCCTGTGGAACATAAAGCCCAGAGCAAATGCAGCAGGGAACACGCCTGTCCTAGTCTGGTGCCAGCATTACCTCCTTCTTCCTCTTGCCAGAACTGGGCATCTGTGTAGAACACCAGGCCAGAGCCGCCCTTCTCCCATTTAAGCTCGATCTCCTCCTCAAAGAGCCGCTCAGTGGTCCGCTCCTGCCCGGTCACATCCTCATGCAGCGCCTCATGCCGTTCCCACTCCTCACACCGGTCATCGTCCTGGAGAAAGACGAGAGGTGACTTGCCTGTTTAGCTTCCTGACCTATGCCCACAAGGAGGGCAGCTCAAGATACAGGAGGCCCATGAGATAAGTCCTCAACATCATTCCTCCAAATTTTTCCAAGATGCAACACATTAGGCCCTTGAAGCCTTTTTTAAAAAAAAAATTAAAAATTTTTTAATTTTTATTTTTTATTGATTTCTTAAGAGAGGAAAGGAGAGAGACAGAGAGTTAGAAACATTGATGAGAGAGAAACATCGATCAGCCGCCTCCTGCACACTCCCCACTGGGGATGTGCCTGCAACCAAAGCACATGCCCGACTGGAACCGAACCTAGGACCCTTCAGTCCGCAGGCCAACGCTCTATCCACTGAGCCAAACCGGTTTGGCAGGCCCTTGAAGTCTTGACCAACACATTTCTCATCTGTTTCTCAACATGGCTCTTTCCCCTGACAAACGTGATTCACTCTTTTTTAAATTTTATTTTATATTTTATTGATTTTATACAGAGAGGAAGGGAGAGAGATAGTTAGAAACATTGATGAGAGTCATTGATCAGCTGCCTCTTGCACACCCCCTACTGGGGATATGCCCGCAACCAAGGTATATGCCCTTGACCGGAATCGAACCCGGGACCTTTCAGTCCCCAAGCCGACGCTCTATCCATTGAGCCAAACCGGTTTCGGCTGATTCACTCTTATTTCTGTGTTTGTGGTCATACTGTTCCCCCTACCTGAAATATCTGCTTTTCACTCTCACCACCTTCTCTTTACTTGGTAAAATCCTCTTCATCCCTCAAGTTTTACAGCCTACATGGAGCTGGCCACACTGAGGCCAACAGTAGTCTCATTGGTCTCTGAACTTAGCTTTAATCGGTACACCCTATTTAGGTCTTTAGACATGACTAGAGGTCTGGTGTACAACATTTGTACCCTGGGGGGGCTGTTGCTCAGCCTGGCCTGTGCCCTCTCACAGTCCAGAACCCCTCAGGGGATGTCCACAGGCCTAAGCCGGCAGTTGGACATTCCCCCGAGGTCCTTAGTGCTGCTGGGGATGTGGGAGAGGCTCTCGCCACCGGTGATGCACTTATCAGCCGTGAGCGGTGCTTCCCCTGTGGGAGCGCACTGACCACCAGAGGGCAGCTCCTGGGTTGAGCATCTGCCCTCTGGTGGTTAGTGTGCATCATATTATCCACTGTTACATTGATTTGCATATTAGCCTTTTATTATATAGGCTATCACAAAGAAAGAAGGGACAAGAAGTAATACCTACTATCTACTGGATGTCAGGCCCTACACATAACTTAGCTCCTTTAATCACCCCAACAATGCTGTGAGATAAGTACCATTATCCCTAGTCTACAGATGGGGAAACTTGGGTTCAGAGGAGTAAAGTGATTTGCCCAAGATAAACCAAGAGAGTGGCAGAGCCAGCATTCAAAACCAGCTTGCCACCCCATACAGCCTTTCCAGATGCTGCTGCTCTCTTTTCAGGGATATTTAAGGCTTTTTGAAGGCAGAAAATGGTCTTAGACTATCTTGGGAATCCTATGATAGTTGCTATGTTTACAATTGCTTGACTGGACTTATGGAATGATAAGATGACTCAAAAGTTTGAAATCTTGGGGGCCCCTGTCTCAGTTAAATTTCAAGAGACCTCAGGAATCACTGTTGCAGAATAGGTACTAGAGAAAAGTCAAGACAGTACCACACAAGGATGTGGTCCAGATGTGTTAGCAACTCTGCTTGGAACTTTGGGGACATAGAAGAATTATTAGTTTTTAAACTGATTTCAGAGAGGAAGGAAAGGGGAACAGAAACATTAATGATGAGAGAGAATCATCCATCAACTGCCTATTGCACAACCCCTAATGGGAATGGAGCCTGCAACCCAGGCATGTACCCTGATTGGGAATTGAACCTTGACCTACCGGTTCATAGGTTGATGCTCAACTTCTGAGCCACAATGGGTGAGAATGGTATTCTTAATGCCTTGGCCTCTCCAAGCTGCCAGCAAGGAAGGATGGCTCACTGTACTCACGTCATCTGAGTGTGATTCTTCTTCCTCCTCCTTTTCCTCTTCTTCCTCGGGCTCTCCACAGGGGCTGGCTGGTATGTCTGTCAGGCAGGTTCCCTGGGGTATTTCCTCACCCTCAGCCGTGTACACAAGCTCTTCCTGCTCCACAGTCTCTGAGTCCTCATACCTGAATGGTACATTGCCATAGCGTCGGGAGGAGCCTGTCTTGGGGAACTGGAGCTGCAGCTGGGTGATGATCCGAGGGGGCAGGCGGCAGGCCCGAATCAACTCCAAAAAGACCTGCAGGGGCGTCCCCACATTCCCATTAGGCATTAGCACTGGTGGGTTCAGCTCTGGCAGTTGCCTCAGGTCAGCGAGAGTGAAGGCTTCACTCGTAGCCTTCCGACTCTGCAGTTCCTTCCGGGTCTTGAAGGGAAAGGAGCCCAAACCTTGGAAAACAGAGAAAAGAATGGCGCTTGAAACCTAGAAGCCTCCAGGAACACTTGAGCCAGAAGTCGGTCAAGGTTTAAATCTTTTAGTCCAATGTTGTTGGTCCCTTTCAAATTCCCAGAATCCCTTCCTCCATTCCCTGACCAGAACCAACTAGTAATTTCATGCTATTTCTCATCACTTCTGCTGAGCACACGTTTCTTCCTGATCTGGTTCCTGTTGATCTTTTGATTCTCAACTACCACCAACCGTGAGCCCCTGCACACCTTCCTATCATGTGCTCCAGCCACATGAAACAGTTTAACATGCCCTGAAAGTCTCATGGGCTTTCACATCTCTACGTGTGTCTTTGCAAATACCATTTACTTTTGAACACCATTCTTCCCCACAAACTTGTTCTCTTTCTCAAGAAAAGCCTGATCCCTATTGGAAATCGGGTTCTTCCTCCTCTATCTTCTCAAAGCACTCGGTGACAAACAGCATAGGCTCTGAAGTAAAATGCTTGGATTTGTACTGTGATTCTGCCATTTACTAGCTCTGTAACCTTAGGCAAGCAACATAATTTCCGCACCCCCATTTCCTCACCTATAAAACGAGTAACAATAGATCCTACCTCATAGTATTGTTGTGAGGAATCAATTTTAAAAAATGAAAGGCTTAGAACAGTGCATGGTAAGCACACAGGAAGTGCTCAGTAAATATTAACAAGAATGGCATCTTTGTGACAATTATTACAAATCTCTGGACTCTGCACAAGAACGTGTCCAATTCTTTGCCTACCAGCTAGCGTAACACTGGGCCTAACAGTATAAGCTAGGTCTGTTGAATGAATTGAAAGGCTCCGCACTGTTTCCTGTTCCCCATCGAAGTAATTTCCAATGAAAATGGAAGCTGTCCTGAGAAAAACTGTCTCTTCATTTGTATCTTGCCAAGAGAAGACTGGGTGGGGGAGCAGGAGGAGAGCGAGATAAAGATAATAAGAGGATTGGAAACCTGACTTCCTTTTTACCCTTCTGTGTCAATGCAAAATCAACCCCTTGGATAGAAAAAGGGGTCTGAAGGGGACATAATAAGGTCAGGGCACATGGCCGGTTACGGGCTCGATCCCCGGTGTGGGGCTTGCAGGAGGGAGCCGATCAATGATTCTCTCTCGTCATTGATGTTTCCTCTTCCTTCCTCTCTGAAATCAATAAAAATATATTTAAAAAGAGAGAAACGTGCCTGCGTTCCAGACCCAGTCTATTATCTTCCCCCCAACCGTACCTGCTGCCTCAGTAGGTAGCCGAAGTCTGCGGATGAAACAACGACTGGGCAACCAAGTCCCCTGAGAATCTAACCACTGGCGGCCGGAGTACATGCGAAGAAACTTCTGGGCTTGAGCGGCCCCTCGTACGGAGACCACGCAGCAGCAGGTGCGGGTCTGGGCCGGGGCAGAGTCCCGAGTGCGGCCATCGGTGACGTAAGTCTGGGCAGGACTCTGGCCGGTAGGAGTTAGGGCAGATGCGGGAGTGGCCTGCGGAGGGGCCCGCTCAGGACGATGGCGGTAATGGAAACAAAGGAAGCCACAGTCGCTCTGTTCCCGGAACTGGCTGAAGTAGCTCCGTAGCTGGGCCGAGCGCAACTCCGAGGGGATGCCACTCACTATTAAGTAAACTGCCGCATCTTCTTCCGCCTCGCCGGGCACCGCCATCTTGGACTGTCACATGATCTACTTGAACCAATTCTCGCGAGAACGCCACGTGACGCACGAATCTCAGTCAATTGTGTGATCCCCGATCCGGCTGCCGAGGCTGTGGATGTGGACGTAGATGTGGAACCTGGAACTGGAGAGCTGCGGGATAAGTTGTTCGGGTACTTCTTCTACAGAGAGAAGCCGATGAGGATGGGAAAAATCACCTGAGAAGTGGGGTGCCTTTCATAAACTCTTGAGAATCAAATTAGCAGCCTGTGGGAGGCGCGTAGTTTTCAAGATTTTCAGTTGTTGGGGATCTTCCAAACCTAATCTCCTTTTAGAGACTTTAAAAGTTCATCCATTTATCTTCCAAGACATATTAGTGGACCCACACAAATCAGTAAGAAAGAAAAGATAATCGAGTTGCGAAGTGGGCGGAAGTCACTTCTTAAACATGTTCAATCTCATTAATCGAGGAAAGGCAATAAGACCCACCAGATTGGCAAAAAATATTTTAATCCTTCCGAAACCGGTTTGGCTCAATGGATAGAGCGTCGGCTTGGGGACTGAGAGGTCCCGGGTTCGATTCCGGTCAAGGGCATGTACCTTGGTTGCGGGCATATGCCCGGTAGGGGGTGTGCAAGAGGCAGCTGATCGATGACTCTCTCTCATTGATGTTTCTAGCTCTCTATCTCTCTCCCTTCCTCTCTAAACAAAATCAATAAAAACATATTTTAAAAATGTTTTAATCCTTAAATGTTGGTGATAATGTGGAGCAAGTGGAGATACCATACACTGTTAGTGGAAGTGTGAACTTTGAAAACAATTTGGCATTGCCCAATTGTTTTCATTTGTGTACAACCACTTTGAAAACAATTTGGCATTGCCCAATAAAAGTGAAGTTACACACATCTTTTAATTTACAATTCACTTGTAAGTATATACTTTAAATAAATTCTTGCTTATGTTTATCAGGAGATTTATTGATGTTGTTTCACTTTACCAACCCTGTGATCCTGGAAAATAGGGAGGGTTATGAAACCCCTCCCACCCTTCTGTGTTCTGAAACATAGATTACTGCAAAGAAACACCCTTCTATGACAAATAAAACTTACAACGCCCCCTTGTTTACCTATGACAATAGACAGACTCCAAATTCCAATTCTCACCTCATAAACACTTAGATGGTCTGTTTGTCCTCACTGATCAGTCACAACAAAAGACTTGTTAAGGCCCTACCCGATTTGGCTCTGTGGATAGAGTGTGGGTCTACTGACATAAGGGTCCTGGGTTCCAGGGTTCCATTCTCGTCAACGGCACTTACCTTGGTTGCAGGCGCCTATCGGCCCTGGGCACTGGTGGGGGCTGCTGCAGAATGTGTTTCTCTCACATTGATATTTCTGTCTTTCTCTCTTCCCCTCTCTCTAAAGCATCACTGGAAAAATATAAATAATAATAATAAAAGGCTTGTTAACTACAACTATGGTTAAGCTTCTCTCCTTTCCCCAGGTCTCTGAACTTTATGACCCCCAGATTCCCCTCAGCTTAAGCCATCAAACAACCCCTCCTTTACAGCCCCTCCAAAGAATAGTCTGGCTTCAGGGTAAACATTCTCTGATCTATTGACCTATCATTCCACTCATGGTCATACCCAGTTCTTTCTAGTCTTGTTTACTCTTCCCTATGAAAGAAGCAACTTTTTTTGCCCAACTCTTGAAACACGTGTAGATCTTATGATCAGAGTGTTCTCCCATTGACAAAGCTTCTCTTTTTCTATAGCAATAGTTTGTTTCCTCCCTTTCCATATCATTTCAAATAAAGTCTCTCCTTATTAAGTCCAGATCTGTTTTTATTTGACAGTATACATGAATATTAATAGCTTCATTGTTTATAAGAAAAAAGATATTGACATTTATCTTATTATTACACACAATTGCCATTTTAAAAAAATATATTTTATTGCTGTTTGGCTCAGCGGATAGAGCGTCAGCCTGGGTACTGAAAGGTCCCAGGTTCGATTCCAGTCAAGGGCATGTATCTTGGTTGCGGGCACATCCCCAGTAAGGGTTGTACAAGAGGCAGTTGATCAATGATTCTGTCTCATTGATGTTTCTAACTCTCTATCCCTCTCTCTTCCTTTCTGTAAAAAATCAAAATATTTTATATATATATAATTGATTTTTTTACAGAGAGGAAGGGAGAGAGATAGAGAGCTAGAAACATTGATGAAGAGAGAGAGACATCGACCAGCTGCCTCCTGCACACCCCCTACTGGGGATGTGCCCGCAACCAAGGTACATGCCCTTGACCGGGCATGCTGCTAGGTAAGGTGTGTAGAAGACTCTCAGTAAATCATCATTGATGGAATGAATATTCCTGGCACTAACATGGGGATATACCACTGGGTGTTGACTGGGAATTCTCTCTAGAAAATGTGGGGTCAAGCTAAGGTTCCGTAGCTCAGGGGTTAGAGCACTGATCCCGTAGAAAATGTGGGGTCATTTCCGTGGGAGAACACACAGGCCAGGTTTCTCATCAAAACTTAAATCCAGCCCAGCCTCTTGTGGCTCAGCAGTTGAGTTTCCATCCAGGAGCCAAAAGGTCACCAGTTCCATTCTGTCAGGGCATATGCCCAAGTTGCAGGCTCAATCCTCAGTAGGGGGCCTGCAGGATTCTCATCATTGATGTTTCTATCTCTCTCCTTCTCTCTTCCTCTCTGAAATTAATGAAAATATATTAAAACCAAAAATGCAAACCCAAAGTAACCAACACTATACATTCACTCTCATTCTGCCCTGGGGAGGGAAATGAGTCTGGGTGCTGGTATTTATTTTCCAATTCATCATCCCTGACCTTTCAAGACACAAAATAGCATACCTAACTGGTTTGTCTCAGTGGATAGAGTGTCGGCCATGCACTGAAGGGTCCCAGGTTTGATTCCGGTCAAGGGACCCCTACCTTAGTTGCAGGCTCAATCCCTGGCCCTGGTGGGGCACATGCTGGAGGCAACTAATTGATGTGTCTCTCACATTGATGTTTCTCTCTGTGTGTGTCTCCTCCTCCCTGGGGTTGCCTTTCTCTGCTCCATTGTTCTGTCTCTGTCTACCATCTCTTGCTGCCCGGAGCCCCAGTGGCAAGACTACTTGTAGTTAGCTAAGCTCCTTTGCTCTCTGATAAGTCTATGCCCTTGCACCTACCATCCCATCTGTTTGGAATGTTTTTCCCTTGATTTGCCTGGTAACTCCTGTTCATTCTCTTTAGGTCAGAGCAGTCACCACTGGGCTAAAGCATTTTCCCCACCTCCAGGCAGACTTCCCCTCCTCCCCCCCCGCCCCCCGCAAGGCAGATTTATTTATTTATTTATTTATTTATTTATTTATTTATTTACATTTTTTAAATTAAATTATTATCTGTGTACCCCTAAGGCAGATTTAATCATTTCCTCTTCTTATCTACAGCTGCCCATTATATTCCTTCTATTACACTTCAGATCATTCTGTGTTATAAGTACTATTTATGTGTCTCTCTTCACCATAGACAGGATGTTCAAAGAAATCAGGGGCCATATCTTATTTATTCTATGTCACTTGGCATCTAGCCCAGGGTCTGGTACAGTGGATGTCAAGAGAAATGTTGAATGATGGAATGATGGATGGATGGTGAGTGCGTGTTGGCTTTTTGTAGCATCATCAATTCTAGGATCTGTCACTATCCCAAGGCCAGGGTGTGTCAGTGCAGGGCACAGCCCACATCACTGGCTAACTGCTTAATAAGCAGTCAATGATTTGGCTAATGAAAGTAGTGATAATAATAATAAAGTAGTACCTGAGGCTGACCCTGCTTCCTAGTGAGTCATCTCTGTCTGGAACTGAGGACAGAGATCAAGGCTGAAAGGTAGATGGTCACTGAACAGTGGCTGAGTTGGCTCCAGACAGCCTGACCCTGACCATGACTCACTCCAGCCTGTGCTGGTGGCAAAGCATGATCTCCAGAGTCCCATGGGCCTGTGTGGGACAGTGATCTAGCACAGTGATCTTAAATACATTTTTTAAATTTAATTTTTAAAATACGTTTTTATTGATTTCAGAGAGAGGAAGGGAGAGGGGGAGAGAGGTAGAAACGTCAATGATGAGAGAGAATCATTGATCGGCTGCCTCCTGCATTTCCCTCACTGAGGGATCAAGCCTGCAACCCAGGCATGTGCTCTGACTGGGAATTGAACGCCTTGTCTCCCATAGGAGGTTCAGGGATTTGGGGCCATTTTAATGTTTGTGTCTCTTCTCTAACTGATCTCATAAATTTACTGTTGTACTTCTTTGAACCCTCAGGCTGAGTCTCCAGCCTTGAAAAGCCATTAATTAGAACCTCCTAGTTCATGGGTGAATGTTCAAACACAGAGACATATCAGCAGGGCTTGAATAAGTTTTAAACCCTGTCGGAGCCTATTTCTTCCTTACTCTCTCTGGTTGATGAGACACAGGTCCCATTCCTACGATGCTGATAGTGGAGAAACAGTCCCCCACATTTGGAAAGCCTGCAGTCTCACAGAAGAAGCATTCTTTTCCTAATTGCCTTGTCCTACAATTCTCTCTTTAGTTTTGCTATATTTGTCTTTGGGTTTCTGCCAGGGTTGTCAGAAGTGACTCGAGATACAGATGAGAAACAGACTTAAGTGTAGCTCCCAAATCACAGGAAGGGTAGGGAAGACATTTTAAAAGGGGCAAGGTAGGGTTAATAAGGGGAGTTATTTGGGTGATTGGAACATAAGTTGAGAGGGAAAGGCAGGGGTGGGAAGTGGAGAGCAATGCCTTCGAATTAATGGCTTTTCAAGGCTGGAGACTCAGCCTGAGGGTTCAAAGAAGTACAACAGTAAATTCATGAGATCAGTTAGAGAAGAGACACAAACACTAAAATGGCCCCAAATCCCTGAACCTCCTATGGGAGACAAGGCGTCTGCCCTGGAAAGAATGGCCTCCTGCATCTGCAAGGTGAGAGGGGGTGGTGTGTGCCAAGATGCT